TTATGTCTTTGGAGTATAGTGGTGTGCTATGAAAGCTATGGTGAGAGAAAAAAACACGATAAAACTCCCCAATGACTGATGTAAATTCAAAATGTACTGGTGTGCATCACCTACATGTGACAAGACAGACCTTGGGGGGGGGAGGGAGGAGCTAAAAAGCCTGAGATGTTTTCTTAGTTTTCCTAGAATGTCTTTGAGGAATATGCAAATAAGTACAGACAGTCGTTGTGTTTTATGCTTCATCCCACATTTCTACAGGTACCCTTAGTAATGGTGTGCTGATCTGAACACATCTTTTCACACCACCGCATGAACTGTGATATAAAATGACCAAGGCTCAAAAACCATACACACAAGCACACTCGCACAAAGCCACAATTAAACAAATTACCAGTGTTTGGAGTCTTGCATATTCAATTTACAACACTTTTGTGTCACTTTTCACTTTTTGAACAGAACTTTCCAAACACAATATATATTTCGGAGTTAAAGGGTTATGCCATGCACCAAGATCACTTCAGTTGTTTTGGTGCCTGAAGTATGTACGTGCAGTGTTTCACTGTGTGTACAGAGTTTATACCCTTTTCTGGAGGTTCATTTTCAACACAATCCATAATATGTATCTCTATTTGTCCATCCATCACATATATAGATATTCAGTGCTTTTATATATATATATATATATATATATATATATATATATATACATATATATATACATACATATTATATATTTATATATGCCCTCTTGCAAGTGAGCTGGTCTTCCTCTACTTAATATCCACAGTTTATTTGTGAAATTTGCATATAAGAGTGGATACAGTATACAATAAGGAATTTTCTTCAGAATATAGATTGGCGTCCTTGACCAACTAGCAAATAACTGCACGTAATCCCTCCCTCAATGGTGAATCATATATTAAATCCATTCAGAGGTCTTCCTCAACCTAGTTAGTATTTCCATGCTTGCGATTTTGTTTTAGTGAAAGCATGGAGCAGGGATTAGTTTTTGCACTTAAATAGGTGGGTGGTCACTTTCATTTGTATTATATACTTTTCTTTATTACTGTTTTTCAGCCTTTGATAGTTATTGTTGTGTTACATTGAAGAATATACAACATTCTCTAGGTTGGAAGTCTCTACTTGGCTGGATATTGTCTTAATTTTCTTTTAAAATATATATATTTTTTTGCCTGGAGAATGTCTCACTGCTAAAAATGTGTCAAAGTCTTGTCTCAACCACTGATGTAGTGCAATGTTTTTCCTGTCTTCTTTAAAATGTTTCACAAACCTTGAGAAAGATATGAAAGCATATCTAAATGTTTCCTGCTTGTAGTTTCTGCTGTCCACAATGTCATTAAGAAATTGATTTTAAGAAGAACTATTGAAACTGAGACCTGGAAGACCACGAAAAACCTCCAATAGGACTGCTTATAGACTTGTCAGCAGAGCATACTAAAACCAACATGCAAGAAGATTTAGATGGCAATGGATTATTGTGCTGCTATCCTTGCACACATTTTACTTGTAGTCGAGTTTCTATGTTCCTAAGAATAGCTTGTTTGTCCTCACATGTTTTAAAAGAAAGCAGAAAATGGGTAATATATATTTATTTGGTTAAATAATGCTGTAAGGGTACTCTGCTAGATCACATAAGGAAAAGCAACTTGTCAACTGATTCAGAATTGCGTCTTACATATTAAATCAAAATGGCATGAGGCTTTAATAAATTGGGCATTTCTTTAGAGACACTCTATTACACAGAATGAAAAGCAGCTACCTGTTTATGGGGTCCAAGGTCTGCTTCTAAATATTTGTCTCCCGGACAAAGACATAATCTCCTCTCTCACTGCAGCTCATTTATAAGGCAGGGTAACATGTGGTGCTTTGGTAACCCTTTGCTGACCAAACATCTAGTGAATGGTTAGGCAACCTTCGGTACTCCAGATGTTGTGGACTACATCCCCCATAATGTTTTTACACCCATAATGCTGGCAAAGAATCATGGGAGGTGTAGTCCAATCAGAGAAGAGATCTCTTATTTTTCTTCTTCCCCTTACAATACTTCCTCTAATTTCACTCCTTCTGCTGTTCTATGTTCATTCGCACCCGCTACATTGGAAGAGGTTTCTGCTCTGCTCCAGTCCTCCCGCCCCACCACCTGCTCCCTAGATCCAATTCCCTTGCATCTTAACCATACTCTGTCTTCTTCTCTTTCTCCACCTCTCACTAAAATTCTCAATCTCTCTCTCTCCTCTGGTATATTTCCATCGTCCTCCAAACATGCAACTGTAACCCCAATGAAGCCAAATCTTGACCCTAACTCCCCATCCAACTATAGTCCTATTGCGCTACTGCCTTTTGCATCCAAGATCCTTGAAAGAATTGTGTATGCGAGATTGACAGACTTCCTCGAGTTCAACTCTCTGCTAAACCCGCTTCACTCTGGTTTCCGCGCTAAGCACTCTGTGGAAACGGCACTGACCAAAGTATCCAATGATCTACTAGCTGCAAAATCTTGTGGTCACTACTCTATCCTAATTCTCCTTGACCTGTCTGCGGCTTTTGACACTGTTGATCATCAACAGCTTCTTCTCATCCTCTGCAATATCGGTCTACAAGATATTGCTCTCTCCTGGTGCTCCTCCTACCTCTCCCAGCGCTCTTTCAGTGTTTCTTTCTCTGGCTCTGCTTCTTTTCCCCAATGCCTCTCTGTTGGTGTCCCCCAAGGTTCAGTCCTTTGTCCCCTACTGTTCTCAATCTATACTGCCTCCCTTGGTAAACTCATTAGCTCCTTTGGCTTCCAATATCATTTCTATGCAGGTGACATGACCTGTCCTCTCCTGATCTCTCCCCATCCCTCTTGACTAGTGTCTCTGACTGCCTCTCTGCTGTTTCTAACTGGATGGCTGCCCACTTCCTTAAACTAAACTTGACCAAAACTGAGATTCTGGTCTTTCCTCCCTCAAGTGTTGTTACTCCTATGTCTGTCTCCCTCACCATCAGCTCCACCACGCAGGCTCGCTGCCTAGGTGTTCTCTTTGACTACGACCTCTCCTTCAAGCCTCGTTCAATCTATCGCCGTCATTTCCATCTCAAAAACATTGCGCGCATCCGCCCCTACTTAACGCCAGATGCGATTAAGGTGTTGGTCCATTCCACTGTCCTTTCTCGCCTTGACTACTGTAATCCACTTCTCAGTGGTCTTACGTGCTCCCAACGTGCGCCGTTACATCCCATAATGAATGCGGCGGCAAGGCTCATCTTCCTGTCCGCCCGCACCTCCCATGCCTCACCCTTCTGTCAGTCCCTACATTGGCTTCCTATAAAATATAGAGCTCAATTTAAAATTCTGGTTCTTGCTTTCAAATCTCTACATAATGCTGCTCCCACCTATCTATCCTCCCTTATACACAAGTATGTCCCGTCTAGGCCCTTACGAACTGCTGAAGACTTACGTCTATCTTCTTCTATCTACTCCCACCTCTGATGCTTGCCTTCAAGATTTCTCGAGGGCTGCACCGTTCCTGTGGAACTCGCTTCCCTCCTCCGTTAGATGCTCACCCAGTCTCCACTCCTTCAAAAAAATCGTTAAAAACCCACTTCTTCATAAAAGCGTATCAATTAAACTGTTAATAGCTCCTGACTGATTCCTCTTCTGCAACTGTCACTAGTCTAATACTATCCTTACCTTTTTGTGTCATTTTACCACACTCCCTCTAGCATGTAAGCTCATTGAGAAAGGCCCTCAATCCCTCTGTTCCTGTGTGTCCAACTTGTCTGGTTATAACTACATGTCTGTTCGTCCACCCATTGTAAAGCGCTGTGGAATTTGATGGGGCTATATAAATACCATAATAATAATAATAATAATCTGGAGTGCCGAAGGTTGCCTATCCCTTATCTAGTGCATTATCCAGAGTTGACTTTAACAATGGCATTATTCAAGTTGATATACATTACCCACTCACTCATATATGTATGTAGTTGATATACATTACCCACTCCCTCATATATGTATGTAATTCTATTGTTTTTTTTTTATTAATTTAAAAGGAAATAGAAAATTAATGTAGTGATTAATTAATTAATTGATGTTAGTGACTGTCATCTGATTTTTGTTTCAGTTGAAATTATTCTAGAAAACTTAATTAAAATAGCTTAAAAGACTACTAGAGGTGGGCATTTGGAATAGTATCACAATTTTAACCTCCCAAAGACTAATTAAAGAAGAAGTGTGTTCGCTCCACCACTCTGCAATTAAACTCTCAGCATTTGACTGTGAAATGTACAGGACTGTTTAAATTGAATGCAGATGTACCTAAGTATAGAGCAGTTCATCATTATCCCACCTTGAAGTATTTACTGGGGTAAGTAGTATAGTAAAGTCAACTAAAAACAGACTTACCTCTATAGCATGTCCACGAGGCACTGTTCTCATACATGATCAGGCACCTGCAGTGAAATGCTGTACAAGCTCATGCAACTATCCATTCTATTATGCTATGTCTGTGAATATTACATTGTGGGCTTACATTAATTTGCATGGTATGCTCTGGTGGTGCCAAGCTATTCAGGTATATACACAATGTAAAGTATAAATAAAACAAAAAATGCATAATTTTAAATGTAAAAAAATGCAACCCATAGGTACCTTGTAGATAGCTATCAGTGTCTTTAATTACTTTAAATTGAATAGCTCCACTTTAATAGATTTATCAAAATAATTTCATAGGACGTTTTTAAGTGGTTTAACCTGTTTTGGTTTTAAAAATGTGTGACTTTTAATGCAAGGCCACTTTTCACCCTAAACGTGCTAAGAAGTAATTTCACATGTTTATCAAATAATGTTAAAAAGCAAACAAACAGAAAAACAAACCATAAGTGGAAGCTTAACTTTTTTGGATGACTACCAGAGAGGCCTGCCCTTATTCTGTTTTTTTTTGTTTTTGTTTTTCCGTAGCTAAACTTAGGAGTGTACCTAGAAAAGAAAGCATTGGCTGAGCTTTACACATAGTGTAACACATAATGATGTGTTTGGAATATGCAAAATGTGGCTGCAATTAAAATACTATTTGCAATACATGACATTGTATATGTTTGGTTACCTACATGTGGCTACTATACCAACGATTTTGAAAAGAGCCACCAATGCAAAACAGTTATGACAGATTTTTTTCTTTTATCAGAATTCAGACACATCTGTCAAAAACAGGGCAGGCTCTTCAAATTAATTTCTAAGAATATATTGTACTTATGTTGTGACAGGATGTGCTTTCCGTGACAATCCCAACCATCTCCAAATGCTTAATTTGAGTGACCAATCGATTCTGGACACAAATGAAACATCTCATTAGATTTGTCAAAGTGTATAATTTACAGCAATGGAGCTGGGATCCTCATGAGTTTAGAAAGCTGGGGAGACCGATTCATATTCAGATAATTTTGTGAGGAAATGGATCCTTCTAATCCTAATGTACTTATGGATATTCGCTAAGGTATTTTGTTGGTCTGGTGTAAGTTAGATATTGAGACTTCCTTATGACTTATTTATTAAAATCATGAAATTTGGCATCTCTTTGGTAAAAGCCATGTGCTAATAATAATATAGGTATATTTATTTTGAGATATTTTTAACTGCGCTTTCAATATCTGTTTTCTTGAGGACATTAATTATATTGATCAAAAATGCAATATTTCAGATTGTTACAAGAATAAGACTGTATCAATGCACTTACACCACTAGATTAAGCTGTCGTTGTTGTAGTGCTTAAAGTGTAATTTATTTTAAGCTAATATTTGAAATTGGTTTACATGGTTTACAAACATGACAGTTCTAAAAATTTGAATCTACAATATAATGCACGGCTCATAGTTGCGTAATTTAAAAAAATAAATGATTTCCTCTTTCTTGTCTTCTTTCCAGAGTCCATACCCTTTGACCAACCTTGGATTTATTTCTGCTTTAGTGGCCCATTCCCAAATCAAATTTCCAAAATTATTATCCGTTTGTGATTTGTTTTGTCTGACTGGTGTCTTGTTTTGATTGTTACATTTTTCTATTAAATTAGATACGTAATTCTTGCTGGAATTGGGGATACGTTTTCCATGGGAAGGCATCTTCATTGGAAATTATTGCCAAAATGTTTTTTTATTATTAGTAAAACTTCTGAACTTAATTACACAATATTCACATTGTATGGCTTAATGTAGAACTGTTAGTTGTTTTGAGAAGACTAGTCAAGTTTGAGTTCACCTCTAGATGATAGATGTCTGAAATATGATCCCATTTCTTGAACTTTGAAACAGAAATAGTTTGACTTGTCACTTTACAAGAGGCTCCAATAGAGGCTCCAGAAAATACTCGATATAACACATTTGTGCTTGTGGGTGAACTTTTTCAGCTTGCCTTATTCATGTCCTGCCAATGAAAAAGATTTAAACAGCATCAAACACTAGTTTATCAAAATGGTTTAAGCAGTATCAAACACTAGATTGAGAATTATATAGATAATAAACATTTACCTATATTTACCCTGTTATTAACATGCTATTGGCACTAGGTGGAACTGGATAAAACCAAATCTAGTATTTCATGCCTCAAGACAAAGGAGGATATTTATCAAAGTATTTTTAAAAAGTGATGGTTAAAGTTTGTAATTTTTTGTGATCATATTGATTAAAAGGTTCTAAAAGTAATCCAAAAAGTATTTTTTTCTTAGAAACTTCCGTCTCAGATGACCACCAAATTTCAAGTGTAGGGAGAAGAGAACTGTAAAAGAACACTGCGTCACCATAAAAAAAAATACAATAATTTAAGGAATGGAGGTTTGGGCGTAAAATAAGTTGTAGATGAAAAAACAGACAAACTTGACAAATTGTGCCAAAAATCTGCCAAAATAAATATTCATCATTCCTTTGAACACTTGCCTTCAATAAAAATTACCATAACAGGCTTCAAACAGTCATTGAATAACTATAGACCTAGACTAGGATCAATGCCTCTAATTCACATATCTACCTTTAGTTTTCACTATTTTGTCACCAGAAGTACAATTGTATGTTTTCTTTGAATTTTTATTCTGCATTTAAAATATTTGCGTATTGATCAAGTATTTAACATTAAGTAATAAAATAGATATAAATAGATGCAAAGTCCTGCCTCATCCAATGGCACAATAGGTCATATATCTGAAAGCATTTCTTGGACAAAGAAGTGACATGTTCATAGTCATTACTAGACAAGTGATTCACTGCACACTTTCTTAAATGAATTGATTAGTTTGATGGCAAATCAAGTAGTCCAGTATAGAACCTGTTTTGATTAGTTTTTAAACTGATAGATCAGCCTATATACGAGTTGAAAGGGGTTCTATGCCAGATGAATCTATTTATTGTCGAATAATCAATTTAAAGAAGAATGCAACAAATGCACGTGTCTACTTCTTATTGTAACTGTAGAATCGTAGCATTACCCCCAAGAATTGCTCCATTTGCATCATAATAATTTAGGCTGAACTGTGGACCATTCACTTTTCAAGTAAATAACCATTTTGGTTTACAAGCTACATAAAGCATGCCTAGTATTCCATACAATGTTCCAAGGATATAATAACAATACATATTGTATATGCATGTGTATAATTATATTGTATTTCATGATTTTGTCTACTTTACACATTATATGATAACATTCAGGGGGGTGTTCACAGTAACCAGGATATAAATGCATTACTTGCTTCGGCATCTCCAACACCACAGTCACTTAGTTTAGATACATAGGCAGTAGAGGGCTACACATTTAACAGAACTTACTGGTTTAGTAGAAGTGAGTTGGAGGTTAGATAGACTGTCAGAACAGTGTGCGTCCAGTTGAAGATGAATCCTGTTTCTGACTGGCAACATATTTGAGAAAAGGTTTCTAATAGTGGTATGGAATCTTCTGTATTACCAGTTTTAACAGGAACACTTGTCATGACCCGACAGCATCTATATTAATCACTGATGCAGCATAGTCTTTAAAGATTTTTATTAGTTCAAAGAGGCCATTTCTTTTTCTCCTGTTGTATGAGTGTAATAATTCAGACATACAATATCCGCTCATACTTGCAATCAACATGATCATAATTTGCATCACCAGTGATGAATCACCTTTCCTATTGCACTCAAATGCTTGTGTGCATGCATGTGTCATACATGAGCTCACTGGAATTGTTTTGTAAGCAGGCTTTAAGTTTACTTCATCTACACAATTCAAGAACTCATTATATTTTACTGCACTGGATATAAAAGTTTCTTGAATAGGAAAATTTAATTTTTGGCTTTAAGTTAAACAGCAGATTTGTTTTTAGGCAGCAGTTTATATTCTGTAAAAAAAATAATTTATATACATACGGCTTGTAATTAAAAATATAAATGTGTTCGCAATGAATATGTTGTTTTGTGCTTGATGAATAAAGCTGTTATTTTTGATAGGTGACCTAGTGTAGCATACTTACTCTATGTATTGCATCCATCGTGGGAGCCAACGTCTTGTGTTGTAAAATAAACTTTCAATAAAGAGTTTACTGTTTTCACTCTACACAATATTGTTCGAAACCCTTTGAGACTATTAACCCTAGAATGACAATAGGTTATACACATACGAATATGCCAAAGGACTCACCAACTTCTGAGCCAAAGCAACAAGATTGGACAAAATGTTTTCTGGTGAAAACTTAAATTTGAAGTGGAAGAATTTTATTTCTGCTTATTAAAAAGGGGTTTATTCACTAAATATCACCCTTAGACAATTCAATCGACATTGCAAAATTAAGTTTCGAATAGTGAAGTGGTGACTACAGCTTAAGTGGCCAATTTTTCCAAAATTTTTATTTTTTTGCCTACATTTTGCAGATTGGCTTTATTTAACAATAATTTCTAGCAGCCCCAAAAAACAGGGGTCTCTTCACTAAGCATCTAATTCCGAGCTGTTAAAATTAGGTTAAAAAAAGAAAAACTGATTTGGAAAAATTATTCAATTCAGCTATAATCACAGCTTGGTTATTGTCACTAAGTTTTTGCATTTTGATTTTCAATTCACTGCATTTTGGTGTTTAGTGAATAAATCAGAGAATGAATTGTTACATTGGAATTCTGCCTACCTATTTCAGTTCCAAGATGCTCCAAATTTTAGGTTTGGTTTTGTTCTTGGAAAAATTTCACACATATGGATAATACTCTCTAAAAGCAAGTAGTAATGCCATAAATATGTTTCGTGGAATATAGAAAAAAAATCTAATTTTTTGACTGTCGTAAGAGATCCCACAAACCTGCAATGTGAGATCCCACAAGACAAAAAAAAAATAATTCTCTAGAAAATAAATGTATTTACCTATGTCCATGGCGATGATTTGGGTGGAAATGTTATTCTTCCTCTAGGTCTTCCTCTGAATTTACCGAAGAAAAAGTGATAAAAGTAGCTTCACCTCTCTTTAATTGTTAACTTTATAAATATAGTCAGGCTTACTGGAATCAAACTATGAATGGCACAAATGAGAGGGAAATACATTCAGGAATAAAGGTTACTTTGTTGCCATATGGACATGTAGAGCTGTATATACACCAAATTAGCAGGTAAACTACAATGTTTATTCTTACCATTTAATAGCTTGATGGCTTGATGCTTTAAGAACATTTAACTGTTCTGCTAAATAGGTTAGTCTTTTATATATGAAATTACTATATTTATATATTTTTCTTTTGTTATACAAAAAAGTAAAATTAATGATTTTTTTTAAATAATTTTTTTTCCGTAATTATATTGCATTCTTTATGTTCTAATGGGGGCATTAGGCTAGTCTGTATGACTCATTGAAAGGGATAAGTTATTAACGTATGCCAGAAAAATGTCTAATTGTACGATAGTCAGATGTTTTGCTGGACATTCATAATTTCATCATTTTGATAAACACTTAAAAATGTTAGATTTTTATGATTCACATTCCGCATATAATTTAGCACCTGTAGCATATGACTCCTATATTCTACAGGGGGGCACATCATATGTTGTCTCTGTCTCTGTCACTGTCACTGTTTCTCTCTCTATATATATATATCTAGGATAAGTACCCTTGAGACAGTGAGGGTATGGTATCCTTATCTAGTTAAGATATTAACATATGGGACTCACTGCTAAACAGTGATTTGTGGTATGTTGTAAAATATAGAGCAAAATGATCAAGTGGGAAAAACATGAATCAAAAAGTTTCAAGTTTATCTGGGCCTAAATTGGGTAAGCCTGTGTTTTTTCTCATGAAAACTCCCTTGAAAGTGAAGTGTGTATCTCACAATACAGACACAGTCAGTAGTGGGAGTGGAAATTGCTGTTTATCTGTACAATCAAGTCATAGTCTACAGTAGCTAGAGTGTCAAGGATTTGTGTCACAACTCTGTACAGTATTTATACAGAGAACATGACACAAAGTAGTGCATAAGTCATAATAAGTACTTATTAATCATATTTACTTTTAATGCATCACCAGTGTTGCAGTAAGTGCAGTATAATAGTATATATTATAGAAAACATACTCAGTCATAGTTTTTCACTAATAACAGTCCACATTGACTCAGACGGGAATTTTCATCAGACTTTCCTGACCATGAGTCGCCCCCTGTTTGCTATTACCCACCGAACAAGTCTAGTACACACAATTGAAGGATGTGAAATGATCAGTATTTTACTAGCACGTAAAATTTATAATAGGAGAAAAGGCTTCCCCCCCCCATCTTATTAGTTTCTTAGAGTAAACAGAAAGCAGAAATAGTTTCTAACAAATTAGTATATTAAAATGATATAAGAAAATGAATCTAGATTTTTTTTCCAGAAAGATAAATTATTTCAAAAGTAAGTGTATGAAGTCACTTTACTGCACATAGTTGAACTTTAAGTTCCTTTTTTTAAGATTTGTCTTGAGACATTTTGTAATCACCACTTCACACTGGCCTGTTTAGAAAGGGATATACTAGTAATACACATTATCATATACTTTGGGTTACACTCTATATAGCACACCATACAAACTCTCCACACCAAAAATAAAACACAGAAAAACTCACTTCAGCATCCTCATAAAATATGAATATACTATATTTATATATCCAAATAAAGATAGTTTTTTTTTTATTCCCACTTTGAAACTAATAAACTTGTTTTATTTAATGGTCTTAAAAACACATAGGAAATTATTTATTATGTATCAAAAGTTAATGTTAATCCAAAACTGACACATTAAATCGGTATTCCTCTGTGTCACATTAACGTAAATAGCAGACTTTTTACATCCTGTAACATATAGTTTTGAAAAAAAATATTATATATATATATATATCGCAGTTTCTGATTTGTCAATTTGGATATCTCTAAGACTTGTACCATGCAGCGAGTAATAATGATCTCGACAGAGATGCTGTAGTATGTGACAACTGAGGTATTTCAAGATAATTGTCACCATGTGTACTGATTTAATGTTCAATAAGCCATCATTTGTCCTGAGCACAAGAAGTGAGGTTTTGGCTTGCCATGAAATGGATTTAGAGTGTCTTATGAACACCAAAGTTAATTTTCTAGAACATAACTTATATGAGACACACTCACTTTGCATTCTTGCATCTAAAGTAAGGGGGAATCAATTTTTTCCCCAGTCTCCACGGCTGCAAGTGTAGAAAATACTTTTAAAAGTTATTGCTGTCTTAAAGAGAACAACATGGAATGCACATGCTAAATAGTTAACTTTTAACAGCATTTATCACTTCTTTAGCACTCGCTAAACTTAGAAAGTCCACAAGAGCCCAAACATTGGACACATTGATACAGCAGTGCTCAATTGGTTTCACGTTTGTGGAGACAGATACCCCATAAATTAACCCCTTATTGTTAGTCACAGAAGTGATTATAAGATGATTTGCATGATTCCATCATCCTGAACGACCAGCAAAGGTTCTGTCAATTATAAATGTCATTAAAAAAAAAAAAAAAAAAATTCTCAACACATCTTCTTGAAACATCAGAGAAAGGGTTAATAAGCCATCTGCTTCAATTGCCTGAATTCTTCTTTCACCCTCTAGACTAAGCGTTTTGTTCTAATTTACAAGATGCCTTTAAACACATGGTTTGTCTTTTCGAAGACAAAATGTATTAAACAAAAGTGTCATATTCAATGCGAACTACCTAAAGTGTACAGGGAAAGTAAATGAAGACAAACTGTGGCAACAGGAGTTCTGTAAGTGAGAAATTAAAAAAGACACAGATAACGTGCAAAGAAAAGTATTTGAAAGTGATATAACAAGACAAGGGATACATGCAGGGATGAAAAGGAAGTATTTTAGATGAAGAGGAGCAGGGGAAAGTAAGACCCACGTGAAAAGAAAGGAGTATGAAATAATGAAGAAAAAGATTAAAGGGAGGGTCGGTAAAAGATATTTAAAGAGGTGTGTTAAGCAGAACAGCCTGTCAGAATGTGAACCTCCCCTTTCAAGCCCTTACTCATATATTGAAGACAAACTCCCACCCTCCCTTATTCACTCACTCACTTCAGGCCAATCCGTCCTCTGCCTGTCTCTTAGTCCCTCTCCTTCGCTCTCTCCCAGAGGCAGACAGAAGTCAGAGCTTTCTTTACTGACAAGTACCACAGCACTTACAGAGATCAGAAAGAGAAAGAGAGAAACTTACAAACCAAAAAAAAAAAACTACACTGAAAAACTTTTTTTTTCTTTCTGCAGAGAATCTTTTGAAGAGGAAAAAAAGTATAGTTTTTTTTTTTTTTTTTAAGGATACAATTTTTTTCTCCCAAAAAAAAAAAAAAAAGAATTGAAAGAAAAGAATACATAACTAGCATAATAAAGAGGAAAGAATCAATAATCGGTTACCAGGATGGCAGGGTGCTCACTGAACGGATTTTTGCTGATGCTCTGCTGGATTGTTGTCATGGGGTCTCCAACTCCTGGATCAGTAACTGACTGTCCATCATGTTCGCTGGCTAAATTCCACAAGGATGCGCCCAGTACTGAAGAGGACATGGTGGAAGCAGTCAAAAAGCACATATTGAATATGCTGCACTTAGGGGACAGACCCAATATCACGCAGACAGTGCCTAAAGCAGCTCTCCTAAATGCTATAAAAAAACTGCATGTTGGAAAAGTGGGAGAGGATGGCCAAGTTGAAATAAAGGATGACATTACGGCAATGAATGACATCTCTGATCAAACTTCAGAAATCATCACTTTTGCTGAATCAGGTGAGTGATCTTAATACTAATAAATGTGACCCTCTCACTTTACTCCTCTCTGGCTGCTTTTGACAAGTAAGGTAGTTACGTTATCTAGTGACTTAAGCATTCTGATGCATAAAAGCACTAACTGAACAATAATGTGTTTTTCATTGATTTAACCTTGGCTGCGAAAAGCTTGTTTACACTTGCTAAATTCACAGAGAATGAGTTATCTTTCTGCAATCTTTAACAAAGTACTAGTGTATGTAAGGAAGAGGGGGAAGGGACTGGGTATTCTCCAAACAGTACAAAAAGTCTGACTAAGAGTGTCAAAATAATATATTCACACCCTGGGGATATGTTTTCACCATTAGGCAAACAATCCTGAAAACTGTAATTGTTGTTATTGCTTGTATAAACACAAACATCTCAAGGAAATATATTGACTGTAATCTCCCCAGCGAGGCTAATTCCATTTTTTATATCATTTCTGGAATTTCAATTCAGGATTTAAAATATGTGATTTATATGTAATAAGGCACAGGTAGCTAAATACTTGAAGTGGTGTAATATAAAGAAGATCTCACCTTTGTAGAACTCACAGGGATAAAATTCCTCCACTGTTAAATGCTGGCAGTAGCATTCAATGCATTTCTGCCCCCTTTGGCAATTTAACAGTTAATATATGCTATGCACTTGCAAATGCTAAGCAGCTTACAGCTGTAGGCAAGGTTTCAGCCACAGTGCATTCTGTTCCCCATGGCAGTGGTTTCGGTATCCCACCACAAAGTTGTGTTTAAGTGACAGCATCCTTGCCTGTTTCACAAGCGGACTGCTCACCTCTTAAAATATAGGTGATTTAAAAGTTCAATCCTCAAGTTCAAAATAACTTCTCGTGTGCTCCACCAGAGAGAGAAGCCTTTAAAAAATAAAAACATCATGGAATTCCTTAGCTGAGACAGAGCCTTGATTGAGTGTGTCTGCAATCTTAGTCCAGTATCTCCCATTCATAAAACTGAAATGTCTGTGCCTCGCGCAAGTTAAGTTGAGAAGTTAGCTGCTAAAAAAAAGTATAGAAGTTTAAGCTGTCAAACCTCAGGCTGGCTTCTGATCTGCTATCACCAAATTTAAAAATAACCATTTGGTCAAAAAAAAGCATTTTATCTCATCACTGAGCCAGTTTGAAAAGAATGCCATTGTTTAGTGCTGCGTATCGTAGTCTAAGTATGTGCGGGAATGCTAAGCAATTTTGTTTAAAGTGTGCTGCAGCAATATAAACAATTAAGACAGCACTCAAAGTTTCCATTCTTGAAAACCTGTTGACTCAGATGTTCTGTCTGCAGAATTGCCTTGCAGAAGTGTGCACATTTTCAGTTCAGACATTCTTACCAGAGGTTTTGCAGCTTCTGTGTATACAATGAAGCATTTCGTTCTCTGCCCTTGCCAATAAGCATGTGTTATCAGAGCTGCGAGGATTTCACATTGATTGTATCAGGGGTGGCCAAAAGGCAGAAGCACAGCTATAGAACTACAACAACCATGATGCTTTGCTAGCCTTAAGGCTTTCTTTGCTCTTCTTAAGTCTGGTAAAGAATCATAGGAGTTGCAGTTCTAAAACACATGAGGTTCAACCATTTAGCTACCCCTGCATCAAAAGCTTCTCTGCAGAGGCAGACATCAAAAAAGTACAAGGGTAAAAGGGAAGGAGTAGGACTCTCGCTGAAAGTAGTTTGCAAAGTCACATTCACAAGAGAAAGAGTTAAATGTTATGAGAGATATGCAGATTTCCCTGCTTGTAATAATCAGCTGCCTTGTCAAAATAATCTTCATTGGCACTCTGCACGATCTTCCTGCATGAGATAAATATAGGTACAATCCTTATGGCTCGAGTATAATAAAGCCAATATCTAAAGTGCACGGCAATTTTCCTCTTCATTTATGTGCACAATTCTTGGTTACCGTTTCCTGGGAATCTGTACAGTTCACTCGATGCAATGAACTTACAATATTTACCTACAGTGCAGAATGAAGCAGCTGCACTGCAATAAATGTCCAGGAAGTCATGCTTTTTACAGTTAGATTCTAACCTAACAATCCATTTCAGAAGACAGAAAGCACTCAGAATTCCAAAAGTTTTAGAAACTCAGACCAGCTGTACTGGGCTATGCTGTAGATTCTATTTGCTTAGAAAAAAAAAAATCTATTAATTTCATAACTCACTGTGTAATGTCCATTATTGATTCTTTTTCCATGGTTGGTTCATAATGTCAGGCTTTCAGTAAATTCTCTTAATTCACTGGGTCATTCTACAACCTCACAAGAGCTTTGTCAGTTCTATGTTCTAATTTTGTTTGCTTATAATATCCCAAAAATGTAAAAAACAAAAAAAAAAAGGCTTTCTGTTGACGTACACTGCTAACCAGTTTCTCTGTTGGAAAAAAAAATGTAGCAAACTCTTGAAAAAGTCATATCAGGACAGGTGAATTCACCACGACTAATGTATTCCTCAGATATTCCACTAGACCGACTTTCATAAATTGAAGATCAATGTTGCTGTCAAGAGCTTAGAAAATTATTTACTGCTTCATTGGTACCCAACGAACTAGCAAAAGATTTTCTCCTTACAGCACACTCGCTGGCAGTCAAGATCAGGTGCTTTTTACAGAATGGCTTAAAACGAGAGGTAATTTAGGGTCCAGATTGTTCACCGTGGGTGACAGTCAATCCAAAATTAGTTTTGGCTTATTGTGATGTCTTGTAAAGAGCTTTTGTACAGTGTTGTGTGTATATACATATCAAATCAATAGTTAATAGTTGAGAAGCTTAATATTATGCAAGTGGTCTAATCTGTAGCATATTTTTGGAAGGCAAAAACACACATTTGTCATCTGGGCATGCCAAAAACGCCCCTTTTCTGTAGTGCAACACATTAGTCAGTTAGTTACTAACACCTAATATAATGCCAAACTGAATATTATTAAATTGGCTAATTACCAACTCAGTGACTCAACGCTGTTTCAGATTACTGCCATGGTAACATAGCACCCTGGTCTTTTATTTTAATGTTTTAAACATATTATTTGAGCATAAATGGGCAATAGTTCTCAAAATAATCATCCTTAATGCATTCATTGGGTAAAGGGTCAAATAGCTATAAATATGTACTGCTAACCTGTCACATATTCTTAATAAAAAAATTCCATAAAATATCCACTAGAGGGCAGTGGCCACCACAATCTTCATTTCACATGTCGCTTTATTCCCTAAGATATCATATGCAAAACCCAAACAGTAAAATCTTATTGGTTATCTGCTGTCCTATCTCACATCAAGTAATCTTGCATGACATTCACATCACTATTTCATATTAATAAAAATAACTAATTAAATAAATATGTATATGAAATAAATATATGTATGTACACACTATACCCTATCTTTCTACAGTTGTAATTTAACATTATCCTGTCTAGGATCCTATAAATAGAAACATGTTGACAGACTACACCTAATGAGGCATTTTACCACTTTGTGGTCTACACAAATCACACAAATCAAAAAATGAAAAAGGTACTTTTTACGGGAACATAAGCAATATTTATGAAGTCTGTCGGCCTCTATGGCTATTTGGATGAGTTCTTTATAACTAGTGAAGGTAACATTGACATATTTTAAAGTGGCAAAATCACAGTGTAAAGCGGTTGCATTGTACCATCCATAACAACTTTGCTAGTTTCCTGAAAAATATTCTATTTAAAGTAAAATACCTAATATGAAATAATATTAAAAATTGACTTTTAAAAATATGAGATATGACTGCTGTTGCAAGTCACTTTAAAATGCTGGTTCTCTCTTGCAGAGCTTTCCATCACACTGCATATAATTTCAATTTGTGTCATTGACTTTCAAATTCTCAAATTATAGGACTTTGCTTGCCAGATTTAAATAAAATATAATAAACAAGTACAAGTGAACGTATATGCTTATATAGAATTTGTGTGAACCAGTAGAGAAGGCCATATATATTTATGGAGGAGTAACATTAAAATGTAGTCTTGTACATACATTCTACAAAGACTATTCAAACTTTAGGACACTGTCCAGAAACTAATTCAACAAATGTTTAATTATTTCAGTTGACCTATCCAAATGTCAAATCTGTCATGATATAGTAATATTCACTTACCAACTTAGACCACAATATTATGTCAACGAGTAGACCTTAAGTCATTAAAAATAGTCAAATTACCTTTTGGATAACCAAAAAAAACTAAATTACCAGTACCTTTTCTGGCAATTGATTTACTTGGTGTTTTTATACCGCTCATGGTGTTAATTTCAAATACTCCAGTGCAATGCATCAGAATACCTTTAGCTAAAAAGCGAGAGAAAACATACACACAGAGAGAGTTTATTTATGGATAATTTAACTTTTGGTATGTTTATCATCTTGGAGACTGCATGACATGCCAAGATGTCTTTTTTATATATATATAAAAAAAAAAATCATTACAGGAGTGAGACACACACATTATTTTATACAAGCAATGTGTATTGAGTTATAACACACTCAAAGAGACACTCATATTATGCCAACATTCAAGACAAGGTTCTGTTGTATTGCTAGTGTTTTATTTAAAGCTTTATTTAGTTGGTCAGACTGTTATTTACATCAATCAGGTTTTCTAAAGACTGTAATTATTCAACGCATGCTGTTTCAAAGGATCTTGGCTTGTTGTACAAATATTTGACCCTTTCTTGCAAAATGTTTTCTTCTATTCTTATGGAATGCATGCCCCCTTTTTTATAAAAAGTCAAAGGCTCAGTATTTCTATCAGTGATATGTGGCTAATAAAACTGTATCACTCAATGTCACTGTGTTCCTTCAATATAGGACAAAAACTAGAATTTAAATTATAACTGAGTAGTATGCCCGGCTGTATAAGACACCTGAAGTTGTACGGTATACAAGTCATTTGTGTAAAATTATTGTTTTGTAGATCAACGATAAGGGCACAGCATCTTTGAATATATATGATCCCATGTATTCTTCAGGCCCCAGTTTAGGTACATTTATGATATCAGTGTCTTTACAGCCAGCAAATACTTGCTAGGAAACACCATCTATTTACCAAACCACAAACTTGGACAAGAGGAACTTTTTATTGGAGACTTTTCCATGTCTTTAAGTTTGCCCTGAAGAGCTTACAGTCTATTTTCTATGTTAACATAGACACAAGCTCCCCCACAAGCTCCCCCTCATCCTGCACCCCTCTGAGCCAGGGAAAAGAGTGACTTGTGAGCTCTTAAACATTGGATCTATACTTCATTTCAAGTTGTCTTATATGGTGTAACTTTAGATGTATGTCAGAAAGTAAATGTTTAAATCAAATTGTTAAAACAAATTATGTCCATTAACCCTAATATTTTATGTTTTTGATAATGTAGTTACACAGACAAGAACCACCTTACTCAGTGCAGACCCTCTACCATGATAGGTTGGATCCTTTTACAAAATGTAATAAATCAATAAGGAGAATGTGTGCCTAATCTTGAATAGGAGAAGGAAACTAAATGTGCTTTTACTGATAAGTGCAATGTAAATAAACACCCCGAACACTTGTGCAGGCAACATAACATTACACTGGAGCATCTAATTGATGGTTAGATTAATTAGCAGCCACTGATAAAGAATACTGATTGTTATTGCAACACATATCATTATGTTGATAATGATTAATGCATTAGATGCCACACCTTGGCACAAGAGAAAACATCCACATATATAATGAGTACGCTCAGTCAAAAATAATTCTGCTACTTGCATTTGGAATCTTTGTTTAGAGCCTAGCATTGCCTCAAACCTCTCAAAGTCATGAAAACCAAATAAATAATATAAACCAATTACAGAAAAAAGGTAAAAAATATAGAGTTAGTAAACGTATTATAGCGGGAGACTAAGGGCAGTATTTTTTGGCCATCCTTGAAATTAGGTATTTCAGTGCATAAAATCAAAGGAGTGCTGCACACAAGTAAGTTTACGTGTGGATGGGAGTCCGCAGCTCACCAGAAACAACACAAAAAGTAGAGGTACACAGGTGTCACATCGTAGGTTGAAAGTAAATAAATATATTTATTGGAGATCAAAATGGACAAAAATAGATCCAATGTTTCGGCCTAGAGGTCTTAGTCATGCATAGAGTTGATAAATGTCAATTTTGATCTGTAATAAATATATTTCTTTGCCTTCACCCTAGGATGTGACACCTGTGGACCTCTTTTTTTTTAATTAGGTATTCTTCACTGCTCAGAGATACTTCTTACATTATGTTGATAGATAAAAAAGGAGATGAAGGGCTTGCTCAAACCAGCCTACAAATTGTACCAAACAGAGAAAACAGTAATGTACAAGCCCAATACCATGAGCGAGTGTTGCTTATTACAACATGCAATGCCCACAAACAATTATATGTTCTGCAGATAAATCCTTGACCCGGGCAATAGCAGATTATCAGATGCCAATTGAAGTATAGAATTCCAAGCAAAGCCTATCCTTCCCAATGCCTTCATACCAATAAAGGGCGACCATCAGTTTTGATTTTGGAGGAAGCACCTTTATCACGTCTACTTTTCCAAAAACATTGTCAGGCATTAATTTTCTATGAAACACTTCTATATTTAGGCAAAATATAGAGGTGACATTTCCAGATTACATAACCTCCGAGCAGTCCTTAACAAGGGTATAAAGCCAGATTCTAAATAGTTGCATTTAGTAAATTAAAAATGACCACTGGACTTTTCTCTTGTTGATAATATGGTTTGATATGCAACCAATAAAATGCAAGCAGGTGATAAAGTAGCTTACATATAATAATACATCAACTGGCCATCGTCCTGGCAGACAACTCAAAGAGCAATAGTATATCCAGACTTGGCACCCTCTTTCTACCCGTAATTCAGTTATACATCAAGAAAGCCACTCCGGTATACCTACAAGTCGCTGAAAGCATACTATCAGCAAACAAACCAAAGACAACGTGTTCCTAAATTTGGCTGTTAAGCAGCCTCCTGATGCTTTAAATCAAAACAAACAGACAACAAAACAAAACAAAAAAAAAATGAATTTTATGAGTGGGAACAGAAACCCTTGATGTTTAGGAGGCTCCCCACCCGAGTTATGCCATTCAAATCTAAGATGCCACATAGGATTTCTGTCTGGATTTTAACTTTTTTTTTTTTTTTACCTTTGGCCTGCTGGTAGTTTGTGCAGCAAATCAATCTAATTACTTATTTTGGGAATAGTTAAAGTATTTTCTGCCAAATTTAGTAATACTTATTTTTTTTTCTTCCAGTTGGCTTATAGTAAAAATTAGAATTTCAACCTTAGTGAAAGAATTGAATTAACTCAATATTTGTATATTATCACATATTCTATTGTACAGCCTAGCTATCTTACTGGTTAAGTTTCACATACATTTACTAAAAAGATAAAACAGTATAAATACAAATCATTTTATGATACAGCGGATGAACATATTAAACACTTTACATGCCGATAAAACTTTAAAATAAACAACACAAACAATGACAATATACTTTTTCAAACTTAGAACAAATTATTAGGACCTTTGTACATTACACCTTAACCTAACACAACCATTTATCATTGACTAACCTGTTGCCAAAAAACCTGTATTCTAGTTCACTAAAATGATTTTAAAAAAAATGTTTCATCACTTATATAAACTGGCATACAAGTATTGATGCAAGAGGGTGGAATGCAAACTAGAGAGAAGGTCATGAATACAATAACTCCAAGTGTACAGCTATTTATTTAGCAATTCTTAAAATATGTGCTAAATGGTGAATTAAAGCTGAAAACAGATATGTGTTGTTGATGATGTTGTTTGCAAACTATGCTCCATTTTAACTCAGATATTTGGGTATTTGTGCCTTGTAAGTCAATAACAAAATAGCCACGACATTGATTCAAGCAAATATCACACAAGCCTACTCAAACACATGTGCTCGATACACTAAAATTAAATTAACCCCTTCACTTCCAAGCGGTGTTTTGTTAAAACAGTAGTATTTATTTGGAATAATAAAGGCATATATTGGTCAAAATAAAAAAATCTAGGCTTACACAGCAATTTGTTAATATAGACTGCTGTTCAGGAGATAAACATTAAATCAATTAAACTGCTGAACTACTAAAATTTACTTGTATGTTTAATATTTGGGTTGATAAAAATTTTGTATATACAGTATAGTATCCATTATTGGATGTATTAGTAGCAGAAACATGCTTGGTAGCAAAATGGATAGATGCAACAAGATAAATATCTAGTTTGGGGGTCTTTAGAAGGAACCTGTGGCATTTTGGCAACATAGCTTTGTCAGAATTACACTAGTCTATTGCTATGTATCTATATGTGTAAATGAGGGTACATATAGCAAACATTTGGATAATGCAAGGCATTGATTGTTATAACAAACTGTAAAGAAGTCATATGTGTGATCAGAGCTCTAACTTCTTCAACTTTCATTTAGATTCTGAAATGCAGCTTTGTAGTTTGACATACAAAGCTTGCTGCAGAGTGTGGAAGAAGAGAGGGGGGTAACATTTACAGCCCCTCTGCAGTGATACTAAGGGACATAATCTTCCTGGCAGAGAAAGATCTTTCAGTAGTGTGAATAAAGATACTGTACAAATGGAAGCTGAAGTGGGCTTTAAGGCTAAGTTTTGTACTCACATTGTTCTAAGATAAGGGGTTACAATTTGTTTACCAAATATCTGTCACATACCTACCTTGCCATTATGGACATGCAGTGCATCTTCCAGTCCAGGTAGCTACTATTTATATACCCTATTTATTTAGACTAACTTGAGACGTAGATTATGGGGTAAAGGCATTTGTGCACATTTTTTATTGAATTTTGCAAAATAATGCAAATGGAAAGTTGACCCATAAAGCCTCGATTTGGTGTTTTTAAATTGAAGTTAAGATATCCAGGAAAGACATTTATTTAGCAAAGCTGCATTTTTTTCCCCCAACAATGACTTTACAGCAACTGGAATTGCAGACACCCCTTCCTCATTCCATACAGTGAACTATTCATGCATTCTAACATTGAGGGTGTGGAGTGAGAGACCACTCAATACTATTCAGCAGATTTGCCACAGGGGAAAAAAGTAAACTGTAAAGATCATAGTTTCACGCTCCGAAAATGTTACCTTCCAGTTATAATTTAAACACTTGTTATAAAATTAAATATTTCATTTTCTCATGATCAAATAACCCAGCAGAGCCTATTACTCATATCGTTCTGTGCCAAGAACATTGGGTCTTTATCAAGGTAACGCCTCCACATCATGATGTTCACGATCAGTATCATTATGCCAACAAATATATGCATATGAGAAAACATCCCAAAATATGCTGTTCTCTGACTAAATCCATTCCTCAGCATATTTACCACCACAGCACTATAATTAACACGTGTACAGCTTGTTAAATTAGAAACACAACTGACAGCTTTTAAACAATGACAACGCTTTAAATAAACACTACCCAAACTTAGCTTATTTAAATCATGTTTCTGGTACCTTTTAGCAGTGCATTAAGCTCCTTTTATAGCTAGATAAGTACAGCTCCTGTTAATGCATAATCACACAGAAGAATAAATGTGTCACGGCTACCCGGCTCGGGGCTGCACGTGGTCGCACCCGATTGGTGCGACCACGCTGACAGGTTGGAGGAATTGCCTGTTCAGCAATGAGCTGGAAGTCGACCCACTGGGGCATCTGTCCCCTCAACACGCGGGATCCAATATGGCGCTGACCATGATTTTGCGGTCATTTGTAGCTCCACCTCCAAAGGTGCATTGACGCACACGCACGTTCTGGGGTCAGAGGCCAAGCTCTGACCAATCACAGCCCAAGGAGGGATATTTAAACCTCTTAATTTTCCTAGCTCATTGCCCTGTCGTGGTTTCTGTTCCAGGTTCCCGAGAGTGCGTTTTCTTGTCCTTGTTATTGATATTCTCAGTATTCTGACTTTGGCTATTCCTGACTTTTCTGATCTCTGGTTTCCCTGACTTGGCTTTCTTATCGATCTTGTCCTCGGCTTTCCCTTGACCATTCTCTGTCTTTCAACATATTAATCCGGCCATTCTAAGGACCGGTTTACATCCTGTCTATTTTTCTGTTCTGTAGTTTTACATAGTTTTATGGATTGGATCACATTAGTAGTCGCGACAAAATGTTGTTGCACACCAAAAACGCATCTACAGGGTTATTCAAACTTTAGAGTTTTCTCTCTTGACACATTTAAAAGTATGTAGCAGGGGTTCCCAAATGGTAAACCATAGGCTTTTAATGAACTATATCTCCCATAATGTTCTGACAAGGTGTTGGGTGACTGGATGTTAGGTCTATTCATTAAAGAAGGAATTGCTGGGAATTGAAAAAGAATATTTCAAAATGGAAGGCCAAAATAAATAAACTGGAAAAAATGCCTAAATCAACTATGCTTCCAGTTTCTCAACTTTGGCCTTCATTTTTAAAAATGATTAAGAATTCAAATTACATTATCAACAATTCCCGCTTTAGCGCCCTGAATGAGTTATATTTGCGTGTCATGTGACTTGTAGCTTTACAATCCCTGGGCAACTATCTTTTGGGCACTGATATAGACATTTGTTAGTCTTTGGGGTCTATTTATTAAATAGTAATATATGATGACTGGGTAACTAAACTAGCTAAGTTGGAGAAAATATCTAATTCAGTTGAGTTAGAGTTTTTTTCCAAATCTCCCAATCTCCCAAGTCTGTTCTAAAGCCATCACGGCTTGCTATTTCATAAATATACATTAGTGCCACCTGTTTCACAAACAATGTATGACCATAATGCATATCCATTTGTGTATAAAAAGCATTAGACATTTGTAAGTAACCTGAGATTTTGTACAGGACTATCTTCCAATGATCTGAATTATCTATAGTATATTAGCGTATACATACAAAATGTTATCCTATGGACTTTGATAATGACAATAACTCAGAATGCTTGTTCAAGTGCATATCTGCTACTTTATGTAAAACGTATTTGATGACAACATACAAATTTGAATAAAGAGTTTCAAAATATATCCATTGACCACTAATTTTACCAGAACACAACTATGTACAGCAAAATCTTTGAGTCACACCTTTTTGTAGTGAATGACCATTGGTTCCGTCTTGCAAAATATAAAGAAAAAAATAAAAAAATAAATTGTGCTGATGTTATTAGGAACTTCAGGTTAAGTTCTGACAATGTTTTGGCCAAGAGGCTTACTTATTTCACATATTGGCTCAGTCTTCTCATTGGCACCCCTAACAATCCCAAATCCATTTTTGGCCAGTAATAAAGGGTTTTGGAGTGGTACAGAATTAATTAACTGCTAATCATGATCAAGAGGTCAGTTTACTTTTCAACAACGATGTGAGAATGACAGGCAACACCGAAAGACAAGCTCATAAGTACATTATAAATAAAACATTAGCACATCTGTGTTTTAAAATATAATTTGTTTGCATAGAAATTGTATCCATGCTGGAGGTGTTAAACTATTTCAATCTATCAACATAAATTCATTAATGTTTCATGAAAGCTGTCTTCATTTAAATAAGACCAATTAAAGAATACATTTCATGGTTATATTAAGGAAAATAATCAGTTCTAATTTCACAGTCCAGCACAGAAATCTTTACATTAATTATTGCAATTTTAGTGCAAGTCCATGTTTGACCTATTTGGGGAGCAAGGATACATATTTTAGAAAAGGATTCTTTTCTCTTAGACAGAGTTGTTCACTAAACATTGCACTGTAGCAAACTTACATTCAAAATGACAAAGATTAGGCAAAAAAATGTTATAGTTTAGCTATTATGTCCTTCAATGGGAACTTTCAAAATTATGTTTTCTTATTCCTGTATTTAACAAATATATATTAGTGAGGTGTGAAAACACAATTAAATATCATTAAACTGCAACTTGGTGAGAATTGTGAGAGAGTTCCCCTTAAAAGATGTAATTTGAATTTTACTTAGCTGTAATTGAAGGTGTAGTGAATAGTCACAAAACATGGATTTAGCTAACTAAAAATAAATAGCACTTTTAAGGGATGTTTTCTACAGCCAAATGTGTTGCCTAGAAAATGCTTGCGTTAGATTTCATTTTTTAACATTATAGTTTGCTATATCTTCTTACATGAACTTTCTCTTCTATACTACCCATATTTAAACAATGTTTGTGTATAGTCTGGTTAGTGTCTTGCAACATTTGACTACTGATAAAATGGAAGCCTGTACCTAGGGCATCTAAAGCCAAAAGGTACAAAATGTATATACCCCAGATTGCAATATAAAACATATCTCAAATTCTCATTAACGATTTAACATAAATGAAAAATGGTAATAGATTCATTGTAAATAATAATTTTTAAAAAAGCTCCACCCGTCAAAGGATAGTTTTGCAAATTTGTAACAAAAAGGGGTATGCAGAAATATACAGACCTTCTGTCACTTTATGCAAAAATTATATATCACTATATTTTAGAAGAATATCCGAAAATTAAAGTTAAGGGTAAAGTGTATCTGATTTTATATTAAAGGTAAAATATTTGATTCAGCTTGACATGATATGTGATAAATGGAAAATATTATTTACCTTCTTTTAAAATACTGTATGTACCACTGACAACTTATTTAGGACATAATTGTAAATCATAGTATAGAATACAATTTTATTAATATTTCTTTTTCACCTTTTTATCTGTCAATATTTAGGTCCCTCCAAGAAAGTACTTCATTTTGAATTTTCCAAAGAAGGAAGTGATTTGATGATTGTCGAGAAAGCAGAATTGTGGCTTTTCGTGAAAATAGCAAAAAACAACAGAAGTCGAGTAAAACTGACCATTCGACTGTATCAGCAGCAGAGAGGTCAGAAAGACAAAGGGTCGGAGGGCAATAAAAATGAACAACTTATTACAGAAAAGGTAATAGATACAAAAAAAGGTGTTTGGCATACATTCCCAGTATCTGGCGCTATACAACGTCTGCTGAATCATGGAAAGTCATCTATGGACATCAGAATATCATGTGATCAATGTCAAGAAGCAGGGGCAACTCCGGTCTTGTTTGGCAAAAGGAAGAAAAAGGATGATGAAGAATCAGCTACAAATGGTGGTGAAGAGGAAAGAGAACAGTCACATAGGCCTTTTCTGATGATTGTAGCTCGACAAGCAGAGGAGCATCCTCACAGAAGGAAGAAACGTGGCTTGGAATGTGACGGCAAAGTGAGCAACTGCTGCAAAAAGCAATTCTATGTCAGCTTCAAAGACATTGGTTGGAGCGACTGGATCATAGCACCTCCAGGCTACCATGCAAATTACTGTGAGGGGGATTGTCCAAGTCACATTGCAGGGACCTCTGGTTCTTCTCTCTCCTTTCACTCAACAGTTATAAATCAGTACAGAATGAGGGGCCACAGTCCCTTCACTAGCATCAAATCCTGCTGTGTCCCATCTAAGCTGAGAGCTATGTCTATGTTGTACTATGATGATGGACATAACATCATAAAAAAGGATATCCAGAACATGATTGTGGAGGAATGTGGTTGCTCATAAAACATACAAAGAATATATATAAATTCATATTCAGACTACACTAATGGACTCAAAAGAAGTGCAAAAGACTTGCAACTCAGCAGAAATCTTAAGGCTGATTTAATGGGACAAAAAGTAGATACAAAGGAAGAGAAGGTTCTAAATCTGCTGCAATAGTTTGCTAAAAGAGGCTGCCCAATCCCTTATAGTTGAGAATGTCCATTAACAGGGTCAAGAGCACAGTCTGTGTATCTATATATACACAAAATGTGTATATTTAATGGCTTGTATTTTATACATCCATGTATGCAAATGTGTATAACTAGATATTGTCAGGCCTATAAGACATTGATAGAATGCCTATTTTCTGTAAGCAGATCCTAATTTAGAAGAATCTATATATTGCGCAGGTGATCTCACCTTCTTCCTCTGCACTATTAACCCAAAAAAAAAAGAAAAAGAAAAAAAAAAGAAAGAGAGAATACAAAGTTAAATTTCACTAAGGTGCTTAAGATCTTAGAACTATGCAACTTAATGGGTTTGAAAACTGTTTACCTGAGACAGAGATGAAAGACTTTTCAGTGGAAGTAACATGTTTAATATTTTTGTTCTTTCATGAGAGATACTTGAAAGGAACATGTTGGTCCAGATGCTGGAACCAAACATTTCTATATTTTGTAAAAAACAAAAAACAAAAAAAAACTAAACAAACAACAAAAAAAAAACAAAAAAAGAAAGAGAAAAAGGCAAAAAATGTATTGTTTCTTTTTTATTTGCACTACAACAGTATTTGACCTGTCTAATCCTTATTTAACAAGTATTTTCAAGAGAGGTTTTAAGAGCTGCACTTAACATGAGCTATATCAGAACTGCTAAAACACACATCAAAAATAGCTATTTTTATGACTATTTTTCATTATTTTTTCTACCTTAAATGAGACACCAAAGACATGTGTGTGAAGATTTAACAGTCTGCCTGTGGTTAATAATCAATGGAAAGTAAACGATTTAAAGGATCAACTTCATAAGAAAATGTTTTGAAGCCAAAAGTGTATATTTTATCCGCATTCATTTTTGGGTAATTGGGCTGCTTTTTAGCAGTTTATTATTATTATTATAATTATTATTATTATTATTTTTCTTTCAAGAAAAAAGGCACTTCAGCAACTTATCTCAACGGCATTGTTTTATTCATTGGTTGCCCATCCTTCTTACTGGTTAAATTTTTTTTTTATATAAAATAAAAAAAATATGTTTTGGCTTTTAACTAATCAGCACAAAATTATATTGTTTTGTTATACATGCAAGCTCAATACTGCACAGGATTTAATTCCAATTTTTTTTTTACAACTCATAGTTTATATAATTCCCATCATGGTCTGTTTTCAGTCTGATTTACTAGACCGTGCAAACTTTTCATTTAAATTACCCAATCCTGGCCTAAAGCAAGCAAGGTTTATTTTTAGAAATAATAATTAAAAAAAAAACAGTCAAAAGTTAATCAGTGATATGTCGATTTTATGTCAAAATGAAGGGAAAGGTAGTTTTCTCTGTATTTCAATTATAATATGTACAATTTTCTAATTTATTCCACAGTATTTAGCTTGCATTGTAAATCAACTTTTGTTTCTGTTTACTTTCTTTTTACACAAATACAATTTTTCTGACCTTTTTGCAGTTTGCAAAAAAAAAAAAAAAATATTTAAAAGAGAAAAATTACAGGAAACAAGGAGACAGAAAATATCAAACAACTTTTACACTGTTGTATATAATACAAATAGCTATCAGTTAGGAATTTTTCAATAATAAAAAGCAGGTTTGTTTTTATAAAAAAAAACAGCTAGGTAAGAAGTAAAAAGTATAACATAGAATGCCAATAAAAAATTTGTTTCTTGAAAGCAGTTTGCGATGGTGACTTTACGCACCAGCACTGCATAGTATTTTCTAAATTTTAATTTTTTTAAATGTCGATATTCATAAAGGATTTCTGTATTTTTTTAATACTTCCAAAAATTCTAGAATTACTACTATGCACCCATAATTATATTTTCTTTTGTAATTTTACTAAGATATATAGCATATAACACTAGACAGGATGGCAATAGCCTCCATGTTGTCTTTTATAAAATGTAGTAGATTTTTTCCTATATTACAACATTTTCACTGCAAAAATAAAAGACACAGAATTATATCACATTCATAGATGTTCTGCAAAATCTCAGACATAACTAATACGATGGTAGATTGTTTTGTTAGACACCTCAACTTGAGTTTAGTTATCAATATTCTATAATAAACATTTTAGAAAACTATACAACACACATTATAGATAAGATATAGTCACCTCTGTGTCATTTTATCCAAATGCAGTTATCCCAATATAGGACATTTTAATAAACAAAAACACAGTTGTCCGACAAAACAAACACATTGTTTTGTATAGACAAGTGATGGTGTTGTGGCATAATTTGATCTCTGTCTTGTTTACCCATGTCTGTATTTTTGGGGATTATGGTTATCTGAGACATTTTAAGTAATGTTTTAGGCCTGTGAATATGAAAATGTTCTACAGAACTTGTTTCCACCCCCACAACTTCCTAACATTACATGATAGTGTTATATTTTCTTGTCGAAAACCTGTCTCATTATGCCCTCTGATTTCAAAGTTACCTTGTTTCAACTGGGTGGTAATAAGATTTACAAATGCTTCATAACCACTTGCCTTTGCCAGACATACTTTACTTTGGTATGATCTTACTGCTCATGGCAATCAATACATTAAGCCAATTTAAATACATGTAGACAATTTGAAAGACACAAAAGTATAACAACAAGCAAACAACGTAAAACAAGTGAATAATTTTAAGTGGAAATTTCTAAAAGAAGAAACCAAAGAAAGAAAATGAAATAGTTATAAAGGAAACATTTATGTAAAAGGAAAAGGTAGTTGTGAATTGTAGCAGGCATGCTCCATTCATAAAATAGCTTATGGTGGGACTGTTTTTATTATGGGCTTTGCTCATGACATATCCATTGATGGTTAATTTATGTAGAAAGCAGAGGAAATAGAAAATCTGCATGATAAGATGAGAGAAAAATGGGATGTTAATCAAGGCTGACCACTGCTGAACAGCATAAAGGACAATTTAGTTTAATGAAATCTACATGTCTACAAATAGCAATTGAAATTGCTACCACATTTAACTAGTCTTGTAGAGTCCTCCTACACTGAAAACAACCATCCCTTTTAGGTAGCTGCGCAAAAAAACTAATTACATCTAAATGTTACCACATTTCTCTGAAGTTTCGAAGTCTCTTATTCCTTATCCCTAAATGAGCTTTTCATAATGTTTCTTTTTAGAAAGTACCTTTTTAGCATACATTTTCAGCAAACATTAACCCCTTAAGGACACATGACATGTGTGACATATCATGCTTCCCTTTTATTCCAGAAGTTTGGTCCTTAAGGGGTTGAACAACTGTTTTCCTAAAAGTCACTTTCATTTTTTTTTTCTGAACAAGTCATTTTTAGAAACATGTATTAAACAATCATGAAAAACACATAATATTAAAAAAAAAAAAAAAACATACTAGAGATGACAAAAAGAACATTCTATAAATTGTGTCTTCTATGAAAATACAACAAATTTCTTATTGGATGAATTTATGTTGAGAGATGTGTTTTCAGAGAAATCATTTATAAAATTATTTTATAAATAATAATAATAATAGTATTAATTATTTAAAATAATAATTTTTGACCCCATATATATTGCTCATCACAAATTCAGCTCACCTGTTCCCAACTAATACCTTCAACTTAAATCACTTACTTGTGGATTCTACTAATGGTTTAATTAATGGTTCGCCACTTAAAATCCTGACGCAAATAAAATTATTTAAGGACACTACAATTCCTAAAGTATACAATACTATACCATAAAGGAGATTTGTTATATTCAATGCTCACTATAAACTGTATCGTGATGCAAGAGAAGTACAGGCCTCTATATTAGAGAAGAGAGTTTGGTTCTGACCATGTTATAATGTTGGCAATAAAACTAATGTCAAGTTACAGAAAGATAATTTATTCTTTTAGGTTGCTCTATCTAAAAATGTATTTATTTTGTATGATAAAAAAAAACATATTGGTATTTCCCTAAATAGTTTCCTACATCTTTACAATTTTAGCTCTGATGACCAAGTTATTATAACAAAACTATTTTATTTACATTCCACATTTCCATTTTTTGTAATTGCTTTAACCAATGTCCATTCTGCTATATGTAATTAAAGTTGTTAATTTATATGAGAACATTTTCATCTATGTCAATGATTTCTTAATATTTATTATGTAAAAGGACTGGTATTTTGTTTTTATTTACGGTTTGTTAAAAGAGATATGTTTGCATTTGTTTATGGTAGAAATTATTTATTTGGACAGCATTCCATTCAATATGATTTATATGTGGAAGGTATGCTAGCTGTACATTTTAGTGAAAAAATACTCAGCAGCTCCTAGATTTTAGGATTTATGATTTGTTTTAAATACATCTGTATGGAATGTTTTTTTTTCTCTTCCTTTTTTAAAAAAAAAATCTGAAAGCTGTACAAAGCACGCAGGTGTGTACTTTGATGCTTAACCCCTTAAGGAAACATGACATATCTGACATGTCATAATTCCCTTTTATTCCAGAAGTTTGGTCCTTATGGGGTTAAATGACTGCAGTATACTATCAAAGGAAGACAAAAAAAAATCAAGGAAGACTCCTAAGATGATATTATTATTATTTTTTATACTCTTGCAAGATGTTCGGGTTAGATTTGTTGTTTTTTTTTCCCCTCGATCTATTGTTATCTTGCCCTTTGAAAAACAACAAAATGAAACAACTTAAGTGAACTAAATAAAGGGAGTTTCACTGAGAAACATGCGATTGTCATTGTGTGTTTTTGTTATTCCGCGGTCATTACTGTATCGAAGAAATGGAAAGGAAATGCCAAATGCGAAGCTTTTTTAATGTTTCTGTAGTGTTTTCAAGGGAGGGGTAGTATAGATAAAAGCTAGTTTATGTTTTGCTGGCTAATTGTATACGTCACTATATAAACGAGGGAATTACATTTAGCTTTAACACAGCTGATGAAAGCAGAAAACTCTTTGAGGAAGAGTCCCCATTTGATTTCTTCAGTGTTTCTTCAACATTACACAATGGAGTGATAGCTACACGTTTAAGGGTTAAAATAGCTTAAAACATAAGTATTTGCATGCAGTGCTCCATACAACCCCCTACAACACCGCAATCTATATTTTTAAATATTGGGACTTTTAAAGTCATTAAACACATACAACATAAAATGCCTTTGGGAAGAATACACATGTTAATAAGTAGAATACAAGAAATTGAAAATGCATATGTCACATCAAACAGATGATAAAATTGCAAAAACTAAGCAACAAAAACAAAGTCAAAATGTGTATTAATTTTTTTTCAACAAAAGGCTGTAACTCCTTAAATATGACTCTTGCTCTTTAAATGTTTTACACGTATTAAAACAGTATACAATTATACCATTTTAATATATTGCCATATCTGCTCTTCTTAAAATTTATATAAAACAGCAAAGCTCAAAGATTATTGTTTTCTTCTTTGTTTAACTTTTTTCAGGAAAGCTGTATATTCATTTCTAAGTAATACATTTCAGCTGATTAATTTAAGTCAATTAATGACATCTCTACAACAAAATGACCACCTATTTTAGCTTCCTAAAATTCAAGCATATTATATATTTGACACACAATCAAATAATACAATTGTATTACATTTTTCAGACCACCAACGTGGACAAAGCGTGAGTCACAATAGTAATTACCTGGTAATGCAAATATACATAATCCTCAGGGATGTTGGGAGGGTCTCAGTAAAAAGCTACTGATGAATACATTGCTTTTTAAGTAATGTCTTGGGGGGTGAACACCCAGTTGCTGAAACAAAATGTGTGCAAGTGAACAGAAATTGCAAATATTTTACCTCCTTATTCAGCAGATTACTGTTTCTATTCCTCTCTGTTGTACAGTGCTGATTTACTTATCTTATAAAACAAGGTGGCCTCTAAAACATCCAGTTAAATCAGTAGAATGTTTAAAAGGCAAGCAACAATCCACACATTCTTAGCTCTGACAATTTGAAAACATGACTATGGTACCTTAATATCTTCTTACCTTTACAAATCTGCTGTCATCCAAAATACCAGGTGAATAAAACATGTCATATTGATGTCTACAATCTTACATTGGACCAGTTTTGAGGCGAGCAAAAGAAAAATCACAGGGAACAGATTTGTGCAATCACTGATAATGGTAAACCAGATATTTCTCTGTAATTGTAATAACACAGTCCTCCTTTTGTATAAAGAAGACATTTGTAGCAAACCACTCAGTTGTAAAAATAACAGCTTAATCTGCACTTGAAAGGTAAGCCTTTGGGCATATATGAACACAACTGAGCTCCGATGTGTTCTTCAGTAGCATTTTGACTAATAGACACATAGGCCTCTTTTAAGTTATTCATGTTCATACTATCAAAACTCTTAATTAAGGACATTCCTTATTGAGAATCAGATTGTTTAAATGACAAAACCCATTTTTCATTAATATATTGTGCTACCTGCATTGTTTTTAAAGTTGACTAAAACTTTGCAATTTTTTTCAAAAGTCGTCTTAGGCAGCCTGTTAAGATTCTATGGGTAGAAGCAAAGATATACACAGGGGGTGTATCAGGTGCAATTAGGCACACCCAAACACAGGACTCAATTTTACAAACTGTCCCCATCTAGGACCCTACCTACATATATGTTCAAATTTGAAATTGCTCATTATCTCGTTGAAGATTATTTTTGTAAATCAGGGATCTCAAACTCTGCCTCCCCCTCTCCCAGCATATTAACGGCCTACAATTCCCAGAATTATTTGAGTGCATTAGATGGCCAGAGCAAGATATAGCTTGTATTTTAGAAACATCCAGAGTGCAAAGTTTAAGATGCATGTTGTACATCTTGTCTATCACTAAATCAAACATTATTTGTGTTGAAAATTTGTGTATGAAAATGTGTTTTGTAGGTCATGTAAAAAATGTTTAGCTCTGTTTTAGTTTTGATGACAACTTGATCAATAGCAAGTACTCTCTTGATGGTCAAGTTTTATTAAACAACACCATGCATGGATGCACAAACTAATGAAATGTGGTCAGAATAGAAGGCACAATAGGAAATCTGCTTGAATGTTTTAATGTTTTAATATAGAGTTCTTAGTGGCTCGTCCTTTTCAAATCACATAGCTAACAAAGGCTAATATGAAGACAATCTGGTACATGTATTCTATAGCACAGGAGTAGGCAGTGTTTGGCACTCCAGATGTTGTGGACTACATTTCCCATACTGCTCTTACAGCCACAATGCTGGCAAAGCACCAGGTGAAATGTAGTCCACAACATCTGGGTTGCCCAAAGGTTGCCTACTCCTGCTATTGCAGAAAAAAGTACAGCCTCAACCGTAAGTTCACATTATATTTTGTGTTTTTTATTGCATTACAAAGAATATAGCATATTTGTATCGTCCCATCTTCTGAGTATGTACAAATTGTTAATACATAAATGGGTGAAACTGTTCAAAATTAGATATATATAAGCTCTACTTCCAGCTGAGTCAACTCAGCTTGAAATGAATAACGTATATTACCTTCCGACGCACTTGTAAGCAAGTGAAAATGTTTTTGGCTGTGAAAATAAAATATCTTTATGCGATATTACATCTGCTGCATTCTAACAGTTCCACACAGGTAATGAGCTTTCTATTGGAATCATGGTATAGTTGTTACAGCTTGTGGTAACAGGGGGGTCTGTTTGCAAAACAATGAAGTTTGCAGAACTTGATAAGAAACTTGAAAAATGTTGAACACAAGTTCTGCAACTAAGCCGAATTAAACATTTTCAGTTGGTTATTGAGGCTTCCATTTTGCATGTTATTGGTCAGTTCCTCACAGCATACTGTAGAGTGTATAGATCCTGTAGAAAACATATTTACATACATTTAGTAGCCACACCACATGCACTTGCATTCTGCCATATTAAAACCCCTTTTACCTCTTGAACAGCTACTTCTACTTGGCATGGATCCAACAAATACAGGCAACATCCCTTATGGATATTAGTCTATGCACACTAGAAAGTATGTCGTTGTATTTTTCATCATACAACACACTTGGTTCTAACACATCTCAAAAGTTAATTCATTTAGTTCTATTGTCTGTGCATTCAACTGGAGTCACTGAAATGCGGTCACTGCATGAGAGTTATGCTTTATAATATACCCACTATCGTACTGGAAATGGGTAAATTGCACAAATACGTAAACTGTGTCAACATAAATGCATATGTAACATTCAAACATTTCTCTTTTAATATCAAGAGGGCTAAATTATACCAGTGATATTTTACATATATAACAATCAGCAACTTTTTACTTTGGACTAAAAACAGAGTGGATGATTTAATTTGATCTAACATGCCATGTCATTTGTACTTTGGAGCAGAAATAGAGATTATTCCGACAACACATTCTCTTTCTAATATTCAATAGATTTGGATATCATATACTCATTTACATGCAGCCTCAGCTTTCATTATTGGAACCTGTCATGGACTCCACTCTCCAAATGATATATATATATTTTTAAATCACTGTTTACTAGACATACCCAATGAATACATGCATTCATTTTTTGTGCATGTATTCATTGGGGGCGTAGCTTAAAAGAGTTTTTAAATGCTGTAGATCTTATGAACTGCAGTCTTAGCAAGACCTCCCTCCCCCACCACCCCCCACACACTTTATTTCAGAGGAGACTTTCACATGAAAATAACCAAACAGATGCTCTGAATTGGTGCCCATGTGTGCGCTCACTGGCTTGTGCACACACATCTGAGCATTGCTGCCACTTCCATTACCTCAGGAGAACAAACAGAAGGAGGCTGCAAACCTCCTTAGCTGTTTGATTCACAACCAGGGGGTGTTTCCCTGTTTAATTTATAAAAGTTCTGATTTCTCATAGAAATTAGCACTTTTGTAAACTGGGGTTAAACTAGGATACCCCTTACCAATAAAGTACTTCAGCAAGCTGAAGTGATTTTGGAGTGTGGTGTGGTCCTTTAATGCACATCCATTGTAACATTTTTTGTATGGGGTGATTTGAGATTGCCTTCTGTACATCACATTTAAAAAAGGGTGGTTAAGTATTTGCAGACCTTTTGTGAGCTTTAATGGATATGATGCCCATTGTCTTCTGACTTTTCTCATTAGTACTGTGTCTATAAAAAACAGAATTGATGCTCATTAAATGTCTCTTGTAATTTCTCTAAATTCTAGAGAATACGTGGAACTCAGGAGAACATTAGCTGTTTCATGGATGCTCCAGCTACCAAGTTTGGCATGGACAAGAATACCAGAGTAAAAGTGATTTAGATTATGCTTCTTTCCTGCTCTAATATTTAGTTGAACAACAACTAAACTCCTTGACAGTGTTTGCATACTTTCTATATTCAGTGGCAGTCATATGATTCATTGTTTAGCTGTTTATATTAACAAACAGGTGTATATATAAAACAACCACTTAGTATAAACAGGCAAAGCTGCTGAAACAGAATAAAAAAACATTTAAAGTAGAGACCATGTTGTTGACATTTACTGGAGAAGAGATCTTGAACAAATGTGGTTTTGTTTATTTGACTATTTCTGTCTTCCTTCACTGAGTAAGAACAGTAAATTTACCTTATTTTGCTATCTAGCAGCTATTGAATGTGAGTGGCACTGAAATAAGAATTTAAATCACATTTTCTAGATTATCAAGCTCTGTGGAATTTAGAAGAGTCTGCACAAAC